GCAGCTCCGCTGGAAGCCGTGCATCCAAGGCAGAGTTTATTTCTGCAGACCGGTGTGACATTTCATGTCTCAGAGGCAGCAAAATATCCTACGTGAGGGACACACGGGGGTACAATTAAAATGGCATGCACAGCCTCGCCTCTGTCAGTGCCCCAGGGCGGCTGTGGCTACAACGTGGCTGCCATCACCAGTGTGTGGATGTGTGTAAAGCGCTTTGGGGTCCTTCGGGACGAGTAAAGCTATATAAATACAGGCCATTTAAATGCAAATAATTAAATACGTTTGTGTGAAACATTTGAAGCACCGCTGAGACTCCAGTCTGCTGTTAGGTCCAACGCTCACTTTGAGTCAGACTGAGCTAAAAAAAGACTCCAATTTTCTTTCAGCTCCAATGAAAGGATTCATGTTCTCCAGGTGCTGCAGTGAACTTTCATGCCCAGCATCTGTGGAAAAGAGGACGTCTGAGGTGCAGCAGCGTTTGTCCCGGTTTGTCCTCAAACAGAAACAAACCTGCTGACGAGAGTAAAGTCGCGACGCCGACGAGTTTCCACGGAGCTTTATTACGAAGGAGAACGCACGAACATACGTGACACCATCTCACTCTGAACTTCTCGCAGACTTTCAGAGCTAAAGCAGGCAGAGGTGCACCTACAGGCTCCACCCACACTAACCAATAAAACTCTGTGACCAGCAGGCTCGTTTGGCAGCGCCGCTGTGACATAAATGATGATGGAAAACGATGTTTGCTGTTGTAAGATCAGGCTTCAGCGCTGTAGCTGCGTTTTCCTCCTGAGCTGTGTTTTAGTTTCACACCAGAGTCTGTCTGATGTCAAACAGCAGCTCTCGTGTTTTTCAGATTTCCTCAAATCAGGATTTTACTGTGGAGCAGCCTCTGAGCTCAGAGCAGCATCGTTATCTGTGGAGCACTTTGACTTCATTTGGTATTATTATAAATATCATTGGCTTCAGCGCTCGCTCTGATCCTTACCGACTGTTTCCTGGTTTGTTGTTGTCCTCGTTCAGAGATGTGTGCACACAGTGTGAGGTTTGTGTGTTTGTCCCTCAAGCTTTTATGATCCGAATGTTGAACTGCAATAAATAAAACTCAGCAGGAGCTCAGCGGGGCACAGAACTGCCCCCTTTCCTCCCAGAAGATACGACGTGTGCGCCTTTAATCAAGTGCACTTTTCCTCTGATGGGACTCACCACTTATTCCACACATGCATGCACACACACACACACACACACACACACACACACGTCTGCTTTACTTACACATTCTTACATCATCTCTGTGGATCACTTGGCCGGCGTGTTGGCTCCGTCTGCTCTGGAGGACAAACAGTTACCTCATGTGTCCTCATGTTTTATGATGACATCAGATGCAAAAGACAAAAAGTGAAACAAACATAAAAACAGTTATTTTCTCCATCATTTCATACGCTGTAAAATCTAATTAGTTCACAGAACTCAAAAAACTAAG